GTTGTGAGTTTGTGTCTTTGCTAACGATAGAATTAATAACAAGATAATAAGATGACGCCTGAACCAGCGGGTTTCGTGTGCTTGTAACGGCTCAGGTGGACCCGTGAAGACAGCCGAACACAAGAAAACGTTTCAAAGCTTTATCGGAATCATTAGAAGTTTAGCTGTGAGTCGTTTAGGGGACAGCGTGGGTCAGAGCCAGAGAGGTGAACAGCAGGATGATCCAAGAAGGGGCGGACGAGAGGCTGAGGTCTGTGGGTCCCGATGTCGGAGGTCCAAGAGTAACCCAGGTGGGGTGAGACGAGGCGGGGTGAGACGAGGTGGGGTGAGACGAGGCGGGGTGAGACGAGGCGGGGTGAGACGAGGCGGGGTGAGACGAGGTGGGGTGAGACGAGGTGGGGTGAGACGAGGTGGGGTGAGACGAGGTGGGGTGAGACGAGGTGGGGTGAGACGAGGCGGGGTGAGACGAGGCGGGGTGAGACGAGGCGGGGTGAGACGAGGCGGGGTGAGACGAGGTGGGGTGAGACGAGGTGGGGTGAGACGAGGTGGGGTAATCCAGTGAACAGAAACAAGGTCGTGAAAACAAGCATGGACCCGGGAGAGTGTACTTGCTAGAAGGCTATCCATAATCTGCCAAGGAGCCAGAGGCTGGGCGGAGCTTAATTCAAGTTTCAATTCAAGTTTATTTATAAAGCCACAGCTGCAGCTCACCGCTCCCACGGGGATGGGTCAGACGTGGAGATGAATTTCACCCGCGTGTGAGGATGACTAAGGGACTTTAACTTTAATTTTACACACTACGCATCCAAAACACGTCAAACTCCACAGTTTAGATGGAGCCAGACAGGAAGTCAAACACAAAACCAGTGTAACAGGCTTGTGTCCACATAGGAACTACTATTCTATTTAGTGTCTTTTCTTGTTTGATCTTTTATTTTTACATTCTTGGTGCTCCTTTGCTATCCTTCCTGAGCTGTGGTAACACACAAACGTCCCCACCGTGGGATCAATAAAGTCTTATCCAATAGAAAACATCCAGAAACTTTCACAATAAAAGTCATTTTCTGTGACCCCTGAGACTGCTGAGAAATCTGGTCCATGTTTGGTTGCCCAGTGTTCTCCGTCCTGTAGAAAGGGGTCCTCGACGGCAACTCTTTTGCTTCTGTGCTTCTTCCCTTACGTTGACCTTTCACCCTTATCAGCTTGTACATTTTCCAGCGATGTAATGTTGGTAAATAATCCTGACACTCCAGGTGACAAAGCTAAAGACGGAGCTGGGAGTGGTGCGAAGCAACCTGACCACCATGTCAGAGATGATGAGCCAGCTGGATCCAGTCATGGTAAAGCAAGCGGACATGGAGCTGCTGGAGGTGAGACTTCACCTGAACAGAAACGGACTGCAGCAGAGTGCTGTCCTTCCTCTTGCTGCATACTGCCTCGTGGCGTTGCCCTTAACTGATCTAGCACTGCACACGCTTCATGTTGCATCTGGCCCTTCCAACCCCTCCCCGACCCACACATTCTCTGTCTCGTTGTGTCATTAGCAGTTATACACAGTTTGTAAGGAAATGCAGGATAGGATAGTGAAGATCCTCCCCAGACTCAACGAGGAGAAGCTGATCCAGGAGTTGCTGGCAGCTAACGATGAAATGAACACCGCCTTCACCCGCTACCACAGGTAACCGCTCAAAATGCTGCGGCATCACTTTTTTCTCCCACTGACGGCTTGTCCTGGCACTCGCAGGTTTGAAAGGCGATTACCGAACGGTCAAAGCAGTGACAAGGTAAAGATCTTTATGGTTACTTTTTCGTTGTGCTCATTTTCTGGTGACAGATGGCTGAACTTTGAATGGATTGCTTTCAGGGCCACACGAATGTCAACCTAGCAGACCTTGAGTCGTCCGTCAGCCAATCAGGGTTTGCATCTGTCAAAAGTGACAGCTCCCTCAGCCTGTCCAAACCTGACAGTCTGTCCAGTCAGATGGCAAAACTTAGTAAGTTAACCACTTTTAGCAGTTTAGTGGGTGATTGTGAGTTGGTTGGTAGTCCACTTTTCTATGGTGGACAGCCATGTGAATGGCTGGGGGTGAGGGTTCCCTACACCATGGTTCCAGGACAAGATATAGTGTGGGTGTTTCTCAATGCCAAGGAGCCTCGCCTTGATGTCTTGGCCCCGCCCCGGTTGCCTAGGAGTTACGTCATCAGGAGCCGCCAAGACGTGTTCCAACGTTCATGTTCTACTGAGGTGTGTGTTCTCCGTTTGTTAGCCGTTTAGCTAGCTGAGCGAGGATACACGGGAGGTGTCTTGTAGACTAGCCTTGGTCAAAAATTACCCACAATGCACCGCGGTATTTTCAAAAAGACGGTGGATCAGAAGCCGGCAGCTACTTCGGGGACAAATTTCAAGTTTAAAAGTAAGTCAACTAATTTAAAATGTTTTTTTTTTTTAGATCCAAAGAAGTTATCTATGGTTGGTTAGTTGCTTAGTAGTTGCAGGTTTGGTGGCTAGCGGGTAGAAACTCGCTAATATTTTTAATTTAATAAACATAAACACAATTTAAAAAGTAAAATGCTCGTTATATATTTATATTGAAACTAATACGTATAAAATATAATGTTATCTCCCGTGTCATGTGACGTTATGTGACCGCCCTGGAAGCCGTGGTCACGTGATGCAAGTTGTTCCATTTAACCATTTTCTTTGACCAAGGAAGGACCGTGTCCTCGTAAGCAAAGTGCCTGGCCTCACAAGACATCGCCTCGCAAGGCCAGGCGCCTTGACATTGAGAAACACCCATAGTGTGTGTCTCCACTACCTACAGTGTTGGTCCTCTTCCTTTAGCTCCATCGTACTCACACAAGAAGGTCATCAGAACCAAAAGTCCAGTCGCTGAAAAATACTGGTAGCTTCGTAACATATAATCATAAAAATCTGGTCTCCAGCACATAGGGTGTGGGTCTAGCGTCTTTGGGGGACGCCATATTAGACGCCATGTTTCCTTCTGGCCTGTCGATGATGTCACACTAGATCATTAGCTGGATATACCACTTTACAAACATGAATGTAATAAGAAAGCTGCTAAACTCTTTCCAAAACCTATGTGAAAGAACACAATCGAAGAAGAGATGCCATATATTTTGGCCGAGTGGTATTGCCGTAGTGTGATGATGTCATTGGCAGGCGCAGGACCCAGAGCAGATCCAGAAATTATGGCGCCAGAAACCTAGCATCAGCATTGCTTTCTATCAACTAGAATTAACTGAAGGGCCATGGAAGTCTGAGGAGCCGCGTCGAGGTCGCATGCGTTCTGCTCCACAGTTTTTTTAGGCTAGCAACAGTCACAGTGATACGGCGTAAAACTACCCTGACGTGTGTGTGTGTACGGCCCCCTAGCGCCACGAGGTCCCTGCTCACACCAACAGCAGTCTTACAACTGCCCGTTTCCACGAGATTAGCATTGGGCGGGTTCCCAGTCCCAATCAGGGCTCTAATACGGTACTGCTAGCCCTCAGTCTGTTTCACCCGGCTATGCGACACACATAGTCTACCTCCTGTTATTCATCAACTCTGGGTTTTCCCAGTGTGTCCTGCAGAGAGGTTCGGACATGGTAGCTATCAGAGAATACACTCAAACCTTCACTTTGTGGGTGGGCTTACTGTACCACCGTCACACCCCCTACCTGTTGGACCATGAGGTCAGCTGGCCTCATGCAGACCCGGGGTGTTTCTCAGTGTCAAGGCGCCTGGCCTTGCGAGGCCAGGTGCCTTGCTTACGAGGACACTGTCCTTCCTTGGTCAAAGAAAACGTTAAATGGAACAGACTTGCATCACGTGACCGCGGCTTCCACGGCGGTCACATAACGTCACGTGACACGGGAGATAAGGTTATATTTTATACGTATTAGTTTCAATATAAATATATAACGAGTCTTTTACTTTTTATATTGTGTTTAAGTTTATTAAATTAAAAATATAAGTGAGTTACTACCCGCTAGCCACTGAAGCTGCAACTACTAAGCAACTAACCAACCATAGATAACTTCTTTGGATCTAAAAAAAAAAACATTTTAAATTAGCTGACTTACTTTTAAACTTGAAATTTGTCCCCGAAGTAGCTGCCGGCTTCTGATCCGCCTTCTTTTTGAAAATACCGCGGTGTATTGTGGGTCATTTTTGACCAAGGCTAGGCTACAAGACACCTCCCGTGTATCCTCGCTCAGCTAGCTAAACGGCTAACAAATGGAGAACACACGCCTCTGTAGAACATGAACATTGGAACACGTCTTGTTGGCTCCCGATGACGCATCTCCTAGGCAACCGGGGCGGGGCCAAGACATCAAGGCGAGGTTCCTTGGCTTTGAGAAACACCCTCAGTCTCTGCCAAGTGCAGTAATTGTGAATGAAGCTTCTATGAGGCCTCGCCTGTGTGGTGACGCTGTTTTACCTTTCACACTCTACCATAACTACCTGGTAGCAGTGCTGCTTTGCTCATGTCGTCACCATTTATGTCCTCAGGTGATTGCTCTAGATGCGCCAACGGCTTGCAAAGCAGATCGTTTATGTACTCTTCTCTGGCCCTCGAGCACCGTTCCTTTTGGGTTGTTTAGTCAAACTGTTAATGACAGAAGTTTGAATTTCATTCCAGCGTGACAATAAAAAAATACTCCTTATTTTACATTCTGTAACACCCAGATCCGATTTCCACACTCTATCCTTCTACATCCTGCCAAGTGTTCGGTGTTGTTTTTGCTTATTTAGAAATAAAAATTGAGCGGCTGAATCACCGTGTCGCTCTAAGACCCGTACGCCATGTTGAGCATTAATGGAACTGTCAGACACGCTGAAACTAGCCATGCGGCGTGCACGAACACACCCACGTTCTGGATTGTGCTGGCTTTTACACAAAACAGGACAGATCGGTTCTTTCTGTAGCATAACAACACTAGACCTTATCACTATTATATCAGTCCACTTTAAATTAGTTTCAGCATCATGTGTCCTGGAGTTTGTAACCAGGAGACAAAAGCAAAGATTAAAGAGACAGAAACTAGAAACAGGTGTTTCAATAATATTCTTTAATTTATTATAAAAGAAAATCCAACTGTTATTGGACACCTGCAGTACCGAGACCCTCCACTAAAGGGCAAACGTGCCTTACAGGATTAGGTTTTTGTTCTAGATGAAAGCACTTATCCTGTTAAAGGGATAGTTAGCAGTTTGGGCTTGCTTTTAGCACCCCCTAGTGTCTGTTTGTGGAACCTCCTTGCTGTCGTTCGTCTTTTTAACTCATTCGCTACCAGCGTTTCTCACCGTTTTTACTGTATTTTTAAGAGTCACAGAACATTGCGCGCTAAGATGACGTCGAAGCCAAAACAAAGCGGAGACTCACCTCTTACGTCAGGAAGAATCCGCGCGTTTCGAACGTTATCCGATCTTTCATAATCCGTTGTTGAATTGTGATCGGCAGAAGCTTTTCCGGTTCGCGCCTCACTTTCTTTAAAGCAGCGGCCCAAAACGATCTAACACATGGACGTTCTGTCTCCTGATCACGTGACGTGTGACGTACGTGGATGAAGATCGGCTTAAGAGCTGAGATGTTTGTTCTCACGGTGCGGGGGCTCGTCCGACGCCCACACAGAAAAAACATGCTAATGACGACGTTAAGTCATCAATAGCAGTGAATGAGTTAATAATTAATCTCACAGCTGAAACGTCCCCTCAGCCTTCATTATGTATATTTAACCATATTTGACACATTTATTAAAACGTAACAATGACACGGTTACGTCTGTCATGATCGATTTTTCTTATTGGATGAAATAAACATTGTGTTGCTCTGCAGGTACAAGTGAGTCAGACGACATGTTATCCCAGAAGATAAACGTCCCCGCTTCACAAAGATCCAGGTAAACCAAGACTGAAGCACATTTCTGTGGCCCAGCAGAGAGGAAGCTGAGTTTAAGCAGCTGCAGCAGGATGGAAGCTGGAGGCTCACGGGGGGAACGTTCAGGAGCGAGGCTCCGATTCTAATCTCTAAATTTATTTCACTTCTAGGACTAGAAAGTAGTCAGAAAAGAAAAGTTTTGGACCTTGATCAAGCATGCATGATGATTTTCTGCACATTTTATTACATGTTCAGTTGAACTGGACAAAAATTCTGCAGCTAGTTTCTCAGGGTCAACGATTTTTCTGTTTGATGTCTTTTGTCGTTTTAAACGTATTTCTCCACTTTTTGAAATGATGAGCCAACATGTGTGATTGTTGGGTTTCAGCCAGAAGGATGGAGTCGCTGTGGACAGTCTGCCTCCAGCTCAGGATGGCACTTCACTAAACTCTGGGATGGTAAGCAAAGATATTGTAAAATGTGTGTGAGTTGTACAAATGAACAGGATTAGTCACAAGATAGGGAATGAAGGGAAAAGTGGGAAACAAGGTCAGATTTAGCCTTAGTTCCTACGGTTGACTGGGCTGATGTTCATGCACCAGACATCTAACGCTGGTTTGACTCGGTACCTCTTTCCTCCTAAATCAACTGTCTGCACGAAGGAGGGGAGTCCAGCCTCCACCCGCAGCTCCTCACCAAAGTTAGACTGGATGATTAAAAGGGGAATGGTGGGTCTCATTCCAAACTCCACGTCTGCAGCCGTGTGTTGCCTTGCTTTAGTTGTGGAGTTGGCTGGTATTGTGCTGTGGTTTGTCTCCTGGTGTGTGGAACCTCAGGGTTGCATGCTGGTTTGGAGGTTCCAGCGCATGATGGTGTTTGTTTTCTTAAATCAGATGTTCACACTGCGCTGGTGCAGGAAATGCTTTTTCATCAACGTGTGTTTCCTTTAGCCTTTTTAAATCCTGGTTTGGATTTGGTGGCATGATGACACTGGTGAATGTAGCTCCTACCTCCAGTAACCAACCCTTCTGCGGCCCTTTTTAGATTCCCATCAGCCAGTCCAACGTTATGGATGATATAGAGAAGTGGCTAGCGTTGGACGATGAGGTTAGTAGCTTCATTATTATGCAAAAACACTAAAATCATACAACCAGGTTCCTGTTTGTAGCCTTCTTTTAAAATATCTGTTTCAGAGCAACGTTTAAATCGCGGTGATCGAAGGCACCAGTCTGGGGTTTATAGAATAACTAGGGGTGGGTATTTAACGCAGTATTTGTGATTAATTAATTAGAAAAAAAAATGCATAAAAATTTTACCCCTTGAGCCCAAGCGCAGAAAATTCTAGCATCAATATTTCTGCCCAATTTATTGATAATTATCATCAAGCTGCACACCTAACAAAGCTGCAGAGCCTGGGCTACAAAACCAGATAAACCTTTTTACCTGCGCCAAACACAACTAAAATCATAATTAAATGAATCATGACAAATCACTCTTCATGAAGAAAAAACAATTTTTTCAAGTCAAAATTACTTTAATATCTGTTGTGTTTTGTAGTTGGTAGAAAGCAGGCGGTAACTTTATCCATAGGAACGTTATTACAGCAGGACATGATGATCTGAGCTTCAGCTCTAACAGAGAGATGCTCATGGTGCACTGCGGCGCTCCAGTTTGCCATCTCAACTTATTTTGTTCAAAAGCAAATCTTATTGCCTGTGTTTACTTTCATTTTCAATATATTTGCTGACCGGAGCTCTACATTAACGCCCTTTGTCATCGTGACACCTCCCTCTGTTGCGCCATGGTGCAATAGCCGTTTATAAGACAGACCATTACTGCAATATTACTACCGAGTGAGACGGAACGAATGCTGCATAATTCGCGCAACACCATGGCAGCATGGCGCGTTTAGAAGACACACCGTTGCGGTAATAGTACGCCGATTTGCCGGCACCGTGTGTCTTGTAAAAAGGGCTAATGCTTACCTTTGAATGAGACCAAAGTAATTAAACAGACTTGGTTACGGAAATCTACTCATTAAAGTGTGGGTATGTCATCTGTAACTCACTAACATTATTGGTAATAAGACATATTGTCTTGATCGATTAAAAAGTGATTAATCATGATTAATTAATTACATCGCCTCTAATTAATTAGATTAATGCTTTAATCGAGTCCCATCCCTAATAATGTTTACATGCTGTGTTGCTGCTCTGATACGTTGGGTTTTAGAGTTGCTCTAAGATGGCAGCTATCGGTGTTGTAACCACACCGACTAGCAGTTTTTTAATAGCAACTTTTTTATTAATGTCATGTCTTCCCTTTGGGTGGGTTTAGCGTAATAAAGTTGTGATCCATTTAAATTAGCAGCAAAGGCAGAAGAATAGGAGACTTTTATGAAATCCTCTTGGATCTTTTTTTGTTGTTGTTGTTAGTAAAAAGTGTTCCAGGCTTCCCGCACTTAAAAAAAATCTGTTTTTCAGAGTAAAGCAACTCTGCTCAACATCAGGAACCAAGTGTAGGCTTCCTCTTCTTCTAGTCGTGTTGCCCGTTTTTGTTTAAATTTTAGTTTGACTTCATTAGTGGAAATAAATGCACGGACACATTTCCTTAGAATAGGAACACTGAGAAAATCTCATTTTTTTTAAATGTAGAGTTTAAACAACTCAGAATTTTGACAGATGTGATTTTCACTACCTGTTATCAGTAGAAAAATGTCTCCATTATGAACACAACCATAGGGAGCCTAAGTCCCTTCCACACCACGGGTCCACGGAAGAACGAAAAAATGAATGCAAGCCAACGGGGCTAAAAACGCTATTTTCTAACTCCGCTTGTTTTGTGCCATGGATTTCACATATGATGTCCGTGAGTTTTAAAGACACATTTTGATACCAAGAACGCACTTATTTTCGAACGGGGGGGAAATGCTATTTTAGGTTTTGTGTGAAAATAAGTCCAGGACTACAAATGCGCTTCACGAAAGGGATGTCATCGGCCCAGACACGGAGAAAACTGAGGGAAAAGGGCTGTAAGTTCAGCGAACTTCCCACCGGAGGAAAGAACCACCATAAATCTGGTCATGTGGTAAGTAGCAGCTACGCTAGGGGAGGGGAGATTATGTGGTGACGTCACACATGCGACGTGCCGATTTCTAGTTTGTACTCATGCTAATTACGAACTTTTACAAGCTAATAAATCTCAAAGTGACAGGCGTGGCCGAATCACCCATCATTAGCAGTGTTGGGAACGTTACTTTAAAAAAGTAATTAGTTATAGTTACTGATTACTTTGTCAAAAAAATAACTCAGTTACTAACTGAGTTACAAGATTATAAAAGTAACTAATTACCAAGAAAAATAACTGCTTAGTTACTTTTTTCATTAAAGAATGCAAGAATTACTACAATAGTGAAATATAAATGACTGACTGGAACATAATAAAATGTATGTCCAAATGTTTTTTATAAACCTGAATAATTTAAATAAATAAGCACTTAACAGGAGGAACTACTATTAGGAACATTACACTAATATAGACTATTAAAAGGTCTCTGTGTGATATTTAACAAGACCCCAATCAGCTAAAATTTAAAATTGCAAATAGAAACACCTGTAAAGGTTCCCGAGCCTTTAAATGGTCTCTCGGTCTAGTTAAATTACAGAAATGAATGTAATTTTGCACAGCATTTTCATTTTTCCAGCTTCACATAATTGTGTGTTTTTCGCAGCATTTCTGTTGCTGCTAATCTAGTAACGGTTAAATAAATAAATAAATAAAATCCTTTAAAATGACACTAGAAGAGGCACAAGCCTGATGGAGGACTTACATTTACTAACTTGGGTCAGACCCAACCACAGAAGAGCTGAAGCTGGGTGGTAAACACACACAGGTAGTTCTAATAACACCTGAGCTCCATGACGTCTGAGACTGATGCATCAGTGTTACAGCGGGACTAAAGACATGATCAGAAACAGGTTACAGCTGGATGATCTAGGAAGGTAGAAGATCAGGACGTCTGAGCGGTGAACAGGTGAGCGGACCTTCGGGACGTCCCGCTGTCACGCTAAGAAGATCCACACCTGCAGCCGTAGATATTCATCATGTCTTCCTCGTTCTTCACGGCCGTGATGCTCTTGTATGAAAACATTTGCCTCTTTAGCTCCTGATCAGCTGATGACAGCTTCAACACACCGCGCTGCTTAACGCACGCATTTCCTTATCAGTACAGAAACGATCGTTTTGTTAAAAGAAGACATAATTAATTAGTTTGCTCGTTACTGAAAGAAATTTTTTTAGTAACGTGGTTATTTTAAACGGCGTTATTCCCATCACTGCTCTGTTGTGTCTACAGCAGGCAGTGACTGAGACGGTGAGGGTCTCCGCCCACCCGGCCAATCATCATCGTGTTTGTAAGAGCGTTACCGACACCTCTCTCTCCCTGGCTGCAGCTGAAGTGTGGCGGTCAGAAAGCCTCACACTGTTGCTCAACGTTCGACAAGCACATAGTAACACACAACCTTCCGTCCCCAGTAACGGTAACGGCGTTGCAACGGCGGGAAAAGTAATTAATTAGATTATTCCGTTACCTAAAAAAGAACGCCGTTATATTTAAACGGTGTTATTCCCAACACTGATCATTAGTTTTCATTTAAATTGCAGTACAACATATGTGTGATCCAGGGTCTAAGGCAAAGCAGATAAGAAAATAGCGTTTTTAGCTCCGTGGACTCACATTCATTTTTTCATTCTTCCGGGGACCCGTGATGCAGAAGTGACTTGGCTCTCTATTGTAGTGCCAGATACCAGCAGTTATCCCTCAAACGGGTCTGTGACAAAAAAATGCATGCTTACATTTAAATGAACTAAAATGTTCCTGTGTGTTTCATGTCATGCAGTATGATGACTATGAAGACTCGGACGGTGTGACCAGTGAAGGTGAAGATCTTTACATTTCTGTCATATTTAGATGCATGCTTTATTATTTGTAACTTTTTGAATAGAAATCAATCATTTTTGTCATTTTTATGAAAGTTATGAGAGGTTTGAGGTGTTTTACCTTATTTTTCACCAATTCATTTGTGGCAAAAATTTAAATTTCATGTATTCTATATATATATATGTGTCAGTTAATTAGTGACGCTAACTAATTATACTTTTAATCAGCAGATGGCGGTAGAGACAACACTAGGTGTGAGCTGTCTCATTTAAAGGTTCAGTACGCAGGTCATTGATGCTGAAACATAAAAAAACTCAGCTTTAGTCATCCTGCAAACAGTCAGACAATTGTTTTTGATATGCTTCAAGACCTTAAAACTAAATAATGGAAGCATGTCCGACACAAGTCTGCAACTAAAGAGCTTTTAGCTCATGTGGAAACGTTCCTGAAACCTGTTCGTCTGTTTCTGTCTGTTCTGCAGAGTTCGACAAGTTTTTGGCCGAAAGAGCAAAAGCAGCAGAGCGCCTGCCGTCCCTGCGATCCTCCTCACAGGAGTTCAGCTACTCCAATTCTTAATCCCCACATAAATCTGACAAACTATCATTTCTCTCAAAGCACATTTGGCTGGGAAACTGAGATATCTGGCTGGCGATTGGCCCAGTGGACGTGTTATGTCAGAATTCCTTACTGGACATGTTTGTGCAACTTAATTACAAACTGGAGGAAAAAGGCTGGATTTGATGATGTTTTTCGTTTATCAATGTGTACATGAGCAAACATTTGCACAATTTTTACATGGTTACATTCCCGGTGTCGAAGAAAGAAAGAATATTGTTACAAGGCAGCCTTCGTTGTGTATTATATTGCTGTTTAATTTCTCTATCAGTAATGTGAACGGTAACAGAAAAAAGCCACAAAAGCAAACACTGTAAAAAAAAAAGAAGCTCAGCTGTAACAAACTGTAGTTTAATGATGTTGGATGTGGGAGATTTTTACTTCCAACTTTTCCCTTTGAAGATGTTTTACTTGAAGTTTAATATGAGGTCATGACAAGCTGCTGTCAAAAATTAAACTATTAACTAAAACTCAGTTTGTTGCCTTTTGTTCTTTTAGGTTATGATTTAAATCCCGAGTTTAAACCATGATGTTTATTCCATTTCCTGTGTTGCCTTGATTGGGACAAATCTTTAACCTATTACGGTTTAATATTTGCTTCTAACATGAGTTAACGTCCGATGAAGTGTTAGAATTTCTGCAAAGAAAACACGTAGTTATTGCAAAGGTCAAATGGGGTCATGCACGGGTATGATACTTGTTAAACATTGTGCGGCCGACGTTTTTGACATATATCCAGACCACACCACTACTTACTTTTTATTTTATTGATCAGATTCTTTAGAAAGAAAGGCATTTTTACTAGTTGGAGTGAATTTTAACAATAAAAGTTTTAGAAATCACAATTCAAGTTTAAACAAATGACATTTTGTGCAATTAGGAGTTTTTATGTGTCGCAAATAATTTAAACATAAGAAGGAAATAACATAGGACAACAAGTGCTAATGGTCAGCGCTCGCTTGAGAAAATTTTTTTTAAACTAAAGTGGTTTTTCAAATATTTAATTTCTATGATAGGTCTAAGCCAGGGATAATTAACGTTTTTCAAGTCAAAAGTAAAATTTTGTATTTCTAAAATGGATTTCTTCCAAACCACAGTAAACACTTAAAACAACATTTCTAACACCCCCCCCCCCCCCCCCCCCCATGAAACGTTAACATTGGAGAAATCTAAAATAGAACTGTTACTAAAAATTTCCAAAGATAAAGCAAAAATAAAAACTATTTTAAATATGCTAAAAGAGAGTTTCATTAGTAATTGTTGTGCAGTGTTTAATATATATATATATATATATATATATATATATATATATATATATTTAAAATGTGAATTTATATCTGCATGTATAATTTGCCATTGCGTCACATTTTAATTTTGTATTTATTTGCTCATTTTACAGCAAGTAAGTAACAACAAAACAAAGTGAAGAGTGGAAAAGTCCGATTGTTGTTTTTAGTCAGAGCCCGTCTTCCGGTTTTCTCTACCACACCGGAAGTAGCGACATTCCTCGAATTTGATTGGACAAAATTGACCTGACGCAACAAATCTCTGCCATCTGATTGGCTCAGAGTACTAACGCCCTTCTGTCTCTTTTTTCTACATGACGCAATCCCGCTTCGTTGTAACGTGCGCTTGTGCTGCTTCACGCTGAAGAATCGTAGACATGTCTGTCGGAAAAGCCGCCCGGAGTTTGTTAAAGTCGTTTCGGGGGGTTCTGGTGTGTTCGGAGCCGGTTCTGAAGCGGAGCTACGCGGCTGTCACCGAGGCCAGGTCGCTGCTGGAGCACGAGCTGGACGGTATCCGAGCCGTGGGGACGTGGAAAGCGGAGAGGATCATTACCTCCAGGCAGGGTCCAGCGATCCGCGTGGAGGGCAGCCGAGGCAGTGAGTGCTCAGAGTTACAACCAGCAGTTATTTATAAAAGTATCATAAAACAAGCTCTAAAGTCTGGATCAGTCCAGGTGATGCAGCGAGCTGCAGCTGACTGAGGAGGAGCGTTTTTCTGTTTAAACACAGACAAGTGGGTTGTCACAGCTCCTAAAGTTCACAAAAGTTACTACACGCTTCTGTCGTGACACGCTCACCAGCTCACCTCCGCCTGGCTTGTGTCCAGTCAGCAGCTTGTCAGCCATTTCTGAATGGAGAACCCTTTTATGAACGGCTAGGTCACTTTAGGCCAGTCTCTGTTCCTGCTAGCAGGAGGAAGCTCTTGGTGGTGATGAGATCACAAACTGGAAGAAATGGCATGCTGCTTGGCAGTGGTGCATTTGTAGTCCAGAAAAAAAAATTCAGATTTTTCAATTTTACTTTGGCCGGTGAACATCTGCAACAAAAACACCATTTCTCCAAACTCATGCTGTTCAGGGAACTGTAAAGGTTAAAGTTATCATTTTTACACATTTCATAATGACAACAAATATGTTTTTTAGATTTAAAATGTTTTGAAGTTTCAAAGTTTTTTTTTGTGATTCCTAATTAGTGGAAATGCTGGGGTTTTATTTATTTATTTATTTGTTTGTTTTTAGGCATCCTGAACTTCTGTGCTAACAACTACCTGGGCTTGTCCAGCCATCCAGAGGTGGTGCAGGCAGGAATCGATGCACTGAAGTCCCACGGTGCAGGCCTGAGCTCGGTCAGGTTCATCTGTGGCACGCAGGTATGGCGCGTAATGCTCACTCGGACTAGAAGATAAATTCATCAGAACGGATCTTATTTGTGTTTTTAAGGATCTACACAAACATCTGGAGCAGAAGCTGTCAGAGTTTCATGAGCGGGAGGACTGCATCCTCTACGCCAGCTGTTTTGATGCCAACGCTGGGCTGTTTGAAGTATGTGATGAGTCCTTCTTCTGTGTCCTGACGCCAAACTAAAATCACGATCTTTAAAAGGACTGTGACTACAGGTGCTGCTGGGCCCAGATGATGCGGTTCTGTCTGATGAGCTCAACCACGCCTCCATCATCGACGGCATCCGTCTGTGTCGAGCGAAGAGGCTGCGCTACAAACACATGGACCTCAGTGACCTGGAGGTCAAGCTCAAAGAGGCTCAGGTAAGGTTTGTCTTTCAGAGCTCCACTCTGTGCGTTTAAATCTGACGTTTGTTCGTTTTTGGTTGTTTGCGCCCTTAAGGTGGTGCTGTTAAATAAGTAAAAGTCAAAGCTCCGTTGGCGGCTTCTGTCTCGATGTCGTTGACGATCCAGGCTGCTGATGCTCCGCCTCTTTGTGTGTTTCCGTCCTCAGTCGTCTCGTATGCGTCTCGTCGTGACAGACGGAGTCTTCTCCATGGATGGAGACGTAGCTCCCCTTCCAGGGATCTGTGACCTGGCAGAACAGTACGGAGCCATGGTGTTTATAGACGAATGTCACGCCACGGGCTTCCTGGGAACCCGAGGCAGGTGTGTGAAGGTGCTGCTTTGAAAATGATTCGAGCTGTAACATGTGGGCTGTGCATAGGAAGCCATCAGGTGTGTTTATTTATTTATTGTTTTCCCTTTTTTCCCTTTTTTTCTTCTTTTTTTTCCCTTTTTTATTTTTTCCCTTTTTTTCTTATTTTTTTCCTTTTTTTCCCTTTTTTATTTTTTTCTTCTTTCTTTTCTTATTTTTTTCCTTCTTTTTTTCACTTTATTATTATTAATTTTTTTTATCAGGTGTGTTTTTAATTGTCGTGTTTCTAAATTGGCTTTTAAACGGAGCTTGGTGTTTAAAAACAGTCAAACGTCGTTTAACTCCGAACTCTACCACTGTGCAGAGGAACAGACGAGCTGCTCGGTGTGATGGACAGAGTTCATATCGTGAACTCCACTTTGGGGAAAGCTCTGGGAGGAGCAGCAGGTGTGTCCCATCTGCTCACCGTCCTTCATGCTAGCTTGGGATGTGAAATGGTGGAGTTAAAGTGTAATTAACACATATTTCCTGTCAGGCGGCTACACGGTGGGTCCGAAGCCTCTCATCGACCTGCTGAGGCAGCGCTCACGGCCCTACCTCTTCTCCAACGCCCTCCCCCCCTCCGTGGTGGGCTGTGCCACACGAGCTGTGGAGCTTCTGCTAGCCTCCAACGAGATTGCACAGAGCATGACTACCAAAACCATGAGGTATGCTTGCTTTAAAGGGACGTTTCATACGTTTTGAATCAGTCAAGCTTTATTTATAAAGCACTGTCCATACAACTTGGTGTGACACAGTGTTTTACAGTAAACTCAGTCCAATAAATACCGTCATCTCATGTTAGATGTTTGGGAGATAAAGTCAGAGAGGCCAGCCTGAGATGGTGTGGACATGTCGAGACGAGAGACGATGATTACCTAGGAGACGTTTGGACGTGTCCAGACGAGAGGCGATGATTACGTAGGAGACGTTTGGACGTGTCCAGACGAGAGACGATGATTACCTAGGAGACGTTTGGACGTGTCCAGACGAGAGACGATGATTACGTAGGAGACGTTTGGACGTGTCCAGACGAGAGACGATGATTACGTAGGAGACGTTTGGACATGTCGAGACGAGAGACGATGATTACGTAGGAGACGTTTGGACATGTCGAGACGAGAGACGATGATTACGTAGGAGACGTTTGTACGTGTCCAGACGAGAGGTGATGATTACGTAGGAGACGTTTGGATGTGTCCAGACGAGAGGCGATGATTACGTAGGAGACGTTTGGACGTGTCCAGACGAGAGACGATGATTACGTAGGAGACGTTTGGACATGTCGAGACGAGAGACGATGATTACGTAGGAGACGTTTGGACATGTCGAGACGAGAGACGATGATTACGTAGGAGACGTTTGTACGTGTCCAGACGAGAGGTGATGATTACGTAGGAGACGTTTGGACGTGTCGAGACGAGAGACGATGATTACGTAGGAGACGTTTGTACGTGTCCAGACGAGAGGTGATGATTACGTAGGAGACGTTTGGACGTGTTGAGACGAGAGGTGATGATTACGTAGGAGACGTTTGGACATGTCGAGACGAGAGACGATGATTACGTAGGAGACGTTTGTACGTGTCCAGACGAGAGGTGATGATTACGTAGGAGACGTTTGTACGTGTCCAGACGAGAGGTGATGATTACGTAGGAGACGTTTGGACGTGTCCAGACGAGAGGTGATGATTACGTAGGAGACGTTTGGACGTGTCCAGACGAGAGGCGATGATTACGTAGGAGACGTTTGGACGTGTCGAGAAGAGAGACGATGATTACGTAGGAGACGTTTGGACGTGTCCAGATGAGAGGTGATGATTACCTAGGAGACGTTTGGACGTGTCCAGACGAGAGGTGATGATTACGTAGGAGACGTTTGGACGTGTCCAGACGAGAGGTGATGATTACGTAGGAGACGTTTGGACGTGTCCAGACGAGAGGCGATGATTACGTAGGAGACGTTTGTACGTGTCCAGACGAGAGGCGATGATTACGTAGGAGACGTTTGTACGTGTCCAGACGAGAGGTGATGATTACGTAGGAGACGTTTGGACGTGTCCAGACGAGAGGTGATGATTACGTAGGAGACGTTTGGACGTGTCGTGACGAGAGGTGATGATTACGTAGGAGACGTTTGTACGTGTCCAGACGAGAGGTGATGATTACGTAGGAGACGTTTGTACGTGTCCAGACGAGAGGTGATGATTACGTAGGAGACGTTTGGACGTGTCCAGACGAGAGGCGATGATTACGTAGGAGACGTTTGGACGTGTCCAGACGAGAGGTGATGATTACGTAGGAGACGTTTGTACGTGTCCAGACGAGAGGTGATGATTACGTAGGAGACGTTTGGACGTGTCGTGACGAGAGGTGATGATTACGTAGGAGACGTTTGTACGTGTCCAGACGAGAGGCGATGATTACGTAGGAGACGTTTGGACGTGTCGAGACGAGAGATGATTACGTAGGAGACGTTTGTACGTGTCCAGACGAGAGACGATTACGTAGGAGACGTTTGGACGTGTTGAGACGAGAAACGATGATTACTTAGGAGACCTTTGGATGTTTCCAGACGAGAGATGATGATTACGTGGGAGACGCCAGGCTGAAAGGAAAACAAAAAGGATTTAAAGTTGGTCTGTGTGACCGTAGAAGATGCAGAAAACAGGACTAAATGGAGACAGATGATTGGCTGTGGCGACCCATAAGCCTGGACACAAATTAGGACCGAGTCATTAAAACTAACACTAATTTCTCATAATAAAATAATAAGATAAAGGCTACATCAGCTTTCTGATAAGGGTTAGGGCTCAAAGCAGTTAAGATAAAACGGGAAACAATTCCTCAAAGGAGCAGCTAATAGGATTTTAACCTCAAATCAAACTTGAGTTTGCTCCAAAAACACGAACCATCGGTGTAACTGAGAATGATGTCTGCTGATACCAGTGGTAGCATGTATAGACTAAACTGTGCTGGGCCTAAAGGTAGACCCTGTGGAACTCCTTATTTAAGTGGCTTGTGTTTAGATGAGTAAATTATAATGGCATTACCTAATAAATCACTTCAGACAAAAATTTAATGGTGTTTTAACACATTTTTATTCATCTTGTTTTGAAGAGTGTTGCTCATCAGCTCTGAACACACAGACACTTCCTGGATCACAGCAGGGCTGAGATCTTCATCACTTTTGGTTAGGCTGAGCGTCGCCCCACGTTTTAACTAAAATGAGATTTTTGGGGGCGGGGCAAAGACTGGTTCAGCACTGACGTGAACCAAAGCTAAAAGGAATGTTGTTGATCTTTTAACCTAACGTTTTCTTCCATCTGCTCCAGACAGCAGAGTTGATTAAAGAAAACTTCCTTGTGAACACCGCCATGTTGGATTTTCCTGTCACCTGTTTAAAATATCAGCAAAGGCTAAATGAAAGCAACAAAAGCTAACTGATGCCTCAGCAAAGTGGATCGCTACATGCTACAGGCTAATTAGCACCATGAAGGATAATGTGTGGTACTTTAGTTACAGCTACTTTGTATGGGAGTCCGTTACTTGGGCATTTTTATTAATGCTGTATCTCACGAGGTATAAAACTTTATTTAGAACATTCTGATTTGACATCATTTTAGATTTCTGCAATAATAAAAATATGTTTACATAAAGGGAGGATATTTGTCTGCTGCCCACTCCTCCAACCAATTTCTACTTCCTGAAACAGGAGCGCCAGAGCTCTTTTCCCACATATCGACTCTCAATCACATTCATTTGTGCTGGAGACCACTGTACATGTACTGACTAAACAAGTCGACTTGATCTTTAAGATAAGTTTGTAATCTGCGATTAATCACGAGTTGACTATAGAACTTTTGAGGATTTTTAACATTAAAACGTTTTAACTGACGGACAGAATCCGAAACGGAGGCTGTTAAGGAAACTTAGAAAGACTTCTTAGTCTAAAATGTCTTCTGAGGGAAAGATGTCACCAAAGCAGATTAGCTAAGAACAAACACGACGCTCCCACCTTCACATGTGATCGTGTGACTGCTGTCCAACCAGATTCCGGAACAAGATGGCGCATGCCGGCTTCACCATCGCTGGCTCAGCTCACCCCATCTGTCCCGTGATGCTCGGCGACGCTCGGCTGGCCTCCACGATGGCCGACGATATGCTGAAGCTCGGTGAGACTCCACTTCCCAACAAACTGCATCAGGATCAGGTTCACATTCCCATGACCGCCTCAGTCTGATGGTTCGTTTATCCTGTTCACAGGAATCTACGTGATTGGATTCTCCTACCCAGTGGTGCCAAAGGGCAAAGCCCGAATCCGCGTTCAGATTTCGGCCGCGCACACCGACGAAGACATCGACCGATGTGTGGACGCTTTCATTCAGACGGGAAGAAAACATGGAGTCATCTCCTAAAAGAAGTTTAATTCAACCGCAGCGCCTGTTACTCCACACGGATGATGTAGAAGGAAACATTCGTTACATTTGAGCATCTTTTAAATAAGTGCTGTTGATAAATGTTTGTATTTGGGGTTTAAAAGAGGGCTAATAATGAATAGCCTACACTACGTCTTAGCACGAGAAAGCTTTTCTCTTTTATCCACAAATGTGATTTTTAAAGATTGCTATATTAAAAAGTTTAGTGGTGCTGGAACTAATGTTGTATGATGAGAACTTGTGGAAAACATTAAAGGGGCATTATGGAAGTTTGACAGTCAAAACATGTATAGAAATAATAAATGTCTTCTTCATACATTCTCCTGCAACGCCCTGGTCCTGTAGAATGAGCCCTGGCATTTTTACTGTGATTGCCTGTTTTTCTGTAAAATCACAGAAAAAGAGAGATGCTCGGGTCGAGCAGGCTGCTTCATGCGCGTTCACGCTCAGGCATCGCCCGTAGCATTTGCTATCCGTAGCTTTAGCAGCAGAGAGAGAGGCAGTGCCACTTTGTCGCTGTCCCTAACGCCTAGTGACAAAGCTAGCTACATTTCTGAGGACCCTTAGCTACTTTCTGTAGAACTTTCTTCTAGATATTTCCTGCAAATTAGCAACAAAATAGCCATTTTCGCTCCGAACCGTTCTTTGAACGTTGTTTCAGGTGTCATCAAGGATATAAATGTTACAGATACTGTGAATGTTACTAGAGTGTAGCTCACCTTGTGAGACGACGGACTCGCATGCAGAACACCTGTGTTCGATTCTAGGTGTGAACATAGTTTATTTAGAGTTTATTTTTTACATTAATGGTATATTTTTTTACAGTAAGATTCCCAAATTTTTATTGGAGACTCGCCGAACGGCATTGAATTCACAGATAAAAAAGATGTGGGTTCAACTTTCATTTTGGAACAATTATTCAAGCAAGGGAAGGGAATGATCTGAGCATGCAGGAGGACTGACCCATCTTAAACCTTTGTCGGCTGTGCTGAAGAGAAAGGTACAGAACCACATTATTTAATTAATTAGCTGCACATTCTCTTGTCCTCTGTCCTCCAGGCCACCCACCCACACACACACACACACACAAGGGACTGTCTCAGCTGTTGTTTTCGTTAAGGAGTGTACACGTACAGCATGCGCTCCTCGTGCACGAGCCTACTATTGAAGCTGCTGTTACGCTTTTGGCCTGAGGGGGCAATCGCGAGCATAAAACTTCAAAAGTCCGTAAAGTATTAAATTAAGAAGAAAACTCGAGGCTGTGTTTGTCTTACTGAGATTTATAATTAAGAAGAAACAAAGGTCTGTGATGGACTGGGGACATGTCCAGGGTCCTTTCCTCTCACCCAATGCCTGCAGCTGGAGATGGGCACCAGCTCCATGTCGTCCTAGTGAGGATTAAGTGGATGGATGATTGTGCACAAGTGACTTAGAGCTTGTCCCAAGTGCACAAACCAAAATACAACATGGCAGCACCTGCACACAGGAGTCACTTGATGGGAATAATGTGTCTAGTTTCAATGCAAGTTCATGAAAATACCAAACAGGATCATACCTGCGGTGGTGGAGGGTTGATGGTTTGGGCTTCTTGCACTCATTGAGTCTACTCATCTTTTTTTAATGGTTGAAAAGTGAGTTTATGTCTCTGATGTTTAACCCTCTCAGGCTCAAAATAAGTTTTGATAAAAGGACGAACAACTAAGTCCTTCAGGGGTACTTCTGAGTTCAAAAGTGCTCATGAAATACTTAAGTGGAGTAACCAGGTAGGTAGGCTTTAACTGTTGCAGACGCCTGCCTCCAGAGGGTTAAGGGAGTTGTTCTAGTAGGAACAAATGTCTTGTAAGTTGTTCTCGGGGGTGAAAAATATACCGATGCACTATTTATCTGACCTAAAAGTTGCCCACGTTATAGCTGAGCTATTTGGACATCTCGCCCCAGATTGGATGACAGCAACGCGACTCTACCATTGACTTGCAACAATGTTTTATCCACTAATAACACAAGTCTTGAGGAGCTTCTGCTGTGTGGTGCTGCTGCTAATGCTAATGGTTAGCTACATTCTCTGCGGTTTCCTGGACGTTAAACAACAGCCTCCCCCGTCGTGAGTCAAGATGGGTGAGTCCATGAATGTTAGTGACAGGGTGATGTAGATCTGTCAGGATTTTCTAATCCCAGAGTTTCACCGTCTGTTTTCTATCAGAAGCTAAAGCAGCCGGAGATTGGTGTAGGAGATTATTCTCCTGTTCAGCCTGCGAGAAACACGAGTGGCTGATTGATCATAAGTAGAAATAAAAATAAAAGAAGGCTTTTTCAGTGTTGCACTCTTTTAACGCGTTGGAGTAAAGTTGATCATGAAAAGGGACCAAATCCCAAACACAGCAGCTGATCTACAACAGAATGGTGTCCAGAGTCCAGACCCACAAACCAGAATGATGGGAAGTCTCAAACTCTTCCAAAGCCGTGTGAGCCTGGAGGACCCAGACTGGAGTTTTGCATGAAAAAGGTTGAAATATGTTTCTAATAAATGTTAAAGTCTGATCTTTGAAGACAAAACAGCTGAAACGTTTGAAAACGAGCTAGATGTTCTCATGGCTCCTCTGCATGTGGAGCTGGGCAGCACGACGCTTCCGCCCCTCCCCCTTTGTGTTTTTCGCGCCACCACAGCGCTAAGCTCCACCTTCCCCCGTAACGTCACGCCTTTTGGAACCCTCTGTGACCAATAGAAAGAAGCCGGATTTAATTCAGCCAATCAGAGAACAGAAGAGGCGTGTAGCGAAACAAGCGGCTCGCGGGAAACAGACAGGAAGCAGATCGTTTTTTCCCGCGAAAGGACTTCGCTCTGGCGCATTGTTCCTGTTAGTGCCGCTCTCTGGGATCGCTCTGTCTGAGAATAAAGTCGTGTCCCAGCTCCGAGTTTTAGTTTAGTGAGCTGCAGCAGGATGTCTGGCTTCGACATTCCCGGAGTTTATTACAGCGACAGCTTCGGAGGAGGAGACGCGCCCGGCGGGGACGACGGCGGGCAGAAGCGGGCTCAGATCAAGAAGCGGTTCCGAGAGTTCCTCCGGCAGTTCCGGGTGGGAACGGACCGCACCGGCTTCACCTACAAATACAGGTGAGCAACACAGACGGCCACAGCCACCAAAGAACTGGTTTTAATAAGGAGGTAAATGTTCGAAGTGAAACGACACAAAATGTTAAAATAAAAGAAGTCTTTATCCGGAAGGTACCTACCAAAATAAGAGCTGGGTGAGGAGATCTAAGGTTTCAGGGTGAAATGAGGCTTTTTTGTGAGTGTGTTCCGCCATCTTTAAGGGAGAGCTACCGCGACCCCCCCTCCCCGTGCCACGCCACACCACACACACACACACACACACACACACACAAGAATGGGCTCTCTTCACCCTGCTTTTATTTTGGTAGTCTGTCCGGATTGTAACATCTGTCCGTCCTTCCCATCAGAGATGAGCTGAAGAGACACTACACCCTGGGAGAGTTCTGGGTGGAGGTGGAGATGGAGGACCTGGCCAGCTTTGATGAAGACTTGTCTGACTGCCTTTACAAGGTTCCTGCGGAGAACCTGCCCTTGGTGAGTCTTCTGCTGGAGCCAGACCCAACTGTCAGGCGAACCTTTCCAGCGACATCCTCTAACAGATTTTCATTTAACAGCTGGAGGAAGCTGCCAAGGAGGTGGCGGATGAAGTGACCCGTCCTCGACCTGTAGGAGAGGAGGAGGTGCAGGACATCCAGGTCATGCTCAAGAGCGACGCCCACCATGCTTCCATTCGCACCCTGAAGGTACCTGCTGACCCGTGTTGTTTAAGAGCCTTGTAGTCGTCGCGCAGGACTGGATTACACTACTTTTCTTCTCGTACAGTCGGAGCAGGTGTCTCGTCTGGTGAAGGTGCACGGGATCATCATCTCAGCCACGGCGGTGAAAGCAAAGGCCACCAAGGTGTGCCTCCAGTGTCGCGGCTGCAGGAACACCATCAAAAACATTGCGCTGCCGCCGGGCCTGCAGGGTTATGCTCTGCCCCGCAAGTGCACCAGGTGGGCGTAACCCAGAGGAGCCGCGCTTTCCCCCAGGCTTTCGGCCATCAGCGAGGAAGCTAACGCACCCCTTTTGTTCTCAGTGACGCTCCTGGGAGAGCAAAGTGCCCCGTGGACCCGTACTTCATCATTCCGGACCGCTGCGTTTGCGTGGACTTCCAGACGCTCCGTCTGCAGGAGTCTCCGGATGCCGTGCCACACGGAGAAATCCCCCGGCACCTGCAGCTGTACTGTGACCGGTAAGGAGGGGCGGCGTGGCGTGGCGTGGTGTGGCGTGGGTGTTTGAGCCGGGGCGGTGTGTTCTGCTCACTCAGGTGTCTTCTCTTCTCTCAGGTATATGTGTGACCGCGTGGTGCCTGGCAACAGGGTTACCATCCTGGGGATCTACTCCATCAAAAAGATGGCTGCTGCCAAAGCAAAGGGCAAGGAGAAGGGCATCGGCGTCGGGATCCGCGCGTCCTACTTACGAGTGGTCGGCATCCAGGTGGACACAGAAGGAGCAGGTACCGCTTTACGTCTGCTTCACGAGGCTGGCCTCTAGTCCACCCGGAGAAACGTTCCCCTTCTTCATCCCGTCCAGGTCGTGGTGCCACCGGGTCCGTGTCTCCACAGGAGGAGGAGGAGCTGAGAGCTCTTGCTGCTTCTCCGAGCATCTACAACTCTCTGGCTCAGTCTTTAGCTCCCTCCATCTACGGCAGCGACGATCTGAAGAAGGCCATCACCTGTCTGCTGTTCGGAGGCTCGAGGAAGAGGTGAAACCGCCACCTCGCCCCATTTCCCCCCCCCCCCCCCCCCCTTAGGGAATTTTGTGGATATTTAATCTGCAGAAATGTTTCTTATCTGACTTTAATAGGTAACCTTTTTGATTTTCTTCCTCCAGGCTGCCCGACGGTCTCACTCGCAGAGGCGACATCAACCTTCTGATGCTCGGAGATCCCGGTACGGCCAAGTCTCAGCTGCTGAAGTTTGTGGAGAGGTGCTCGCCTATCGGGGTAAGAGAAGCTTTCCCGGAGCTGCTGCTCTGACGCCAGCATGAGGAGAAGCTCAGCGGTGTGTCTGTGACCTTCAGGTCTACACCTCCGGGAAGGGCAGCAGCGCAGCCGGCCTGACCGCCTCGGTGCTTCGAGACCCTAGCACTCGTGGGTTCATCATGGAGGGAGGGGCCATGGTGCTGGCCGACGGAGGAGTCGTGTGCATCGATGAGTTCGATAAGGTAGGACCGACGCCCGAGCGTCAGCGTTAGACCCGGTTCGGAGTCTAAATCTGAGCGGTTTCTGTTTCTCAGATGAGGGAGGATGACCGCGTGGCTATCCACGAAGCCATGGAGCAGCAGACCATCTCCATCGCTAAGGTACGTACAGCTGATGCGCCATCTTGGATGTGAGACGGTTGCCGTGGTATCCTGACGTCCTCGCTTCCTCCAGGCGGGCATCACCACCACCCTGAACTCCCGCTGCTCCGTGCTGGCCGCCGCCAACTCCGTGTTTGGTCGCTGGGACGACACGAAGGGGGAGGACAACATTGACTTCATGCCCACCATCTTGTCTCGTTTCGACATGATCTTCATCATCAAGGACCAGCACGACCAGCAGAGGGACATGGTGAGGAGGCTGGAGCCTCGAACGCGTCGGCGTCCCCTTCCTCCGGAGTGTAACCTCACCGTCTGCTTGTTCCCCAGACGCTGGCTCGCCACGTGATGAACGTCCACCTGAGTGCTCAGACGCAGACCGAAGGTGTGGAGGGCGAGGTTCCTCTGGCTACGTTTAAGAAATACATCGCCTACGCCAGAGCGTGAGTCGGCCTCGGGCGTTTGGTCTGTCGTCCACAGTCGCGAGTCCGTTCTCAGACTGAGTGTGTGCTTGCAGGAAGTGTGGCCCTCGGCTTTCCGCGGCTGCCGCTGAGAAGCTGAAGAACAGATACGTGGTGATGAGGAGCGGCGCGCGGGAGCACGAACGCGAGAGCCACAAGCGGCCCTCCATCCCCATCACCGTCAGGTACAGGCGGCGCCTGCGTCCGAGCGAGTCGTCGCACCCGGGAGAGGGTTGTCACGAGTGTCTTGTGTCTTCAGGCAGCTGGAGGCGGTCGTTCGTATCGCCGAGTCGTTGGCTAAGATGAAGCTGCAGGCCGTGGCTGGGGAAGAGGAGGTGGACGAGGCCCTCAGGCTCTTCCAGGTCTCCACGCTGGACGCCGCTCTGTCGGGCAGCCTCTCAGGTGTGTGACGGCCACGTTTCAGAGCGGGGCTCGCCTGTCCCGTTTCCTGACGCTAACGCCCCTCTGTTCTCAGGAGTGGAGGGCTTCACCTCTCAGGAGGACCAGGAAATGCTCTCCCGCGTCGAGAAGCAGCTGAAGAGGCGCTTCGCTATCGGCTCCCAGGTGTCGGAGCACAGCATCATCCAGGACTTCACCAAGCAGGTGGGTCCGAGGGGGCCGTGTGCGTTTATTAACCACCACACTTTAAATGGTCGGTTTGAAGCGGCGTGTCTTTTGTTCTGCCCCTTCTCTAGAAATATCCCGAGCATGTCGTCTACAAAGTCCTCCACCTGATGCTGAGGAGGGGCGAGCTGCAGCACCGCATGCAGAGGAAGGTCCTCTTCCGGGTCAAGTAGAGCCGATCGGCGCCGCTGATGTAAATAGTTTGTGTTGGTTTCGAGTCTCTGCCACTCTGGACGCGGTCTGTGGCGAAGCCGTGGACCGGAGGTGTCACCGTGGGTGGTTTAGTGAGGCTGTGGCTCAACTGGTCTGTAAAGATGAAATGATGAAAATAAAACTTGCGTTCTGGTCAAACTGGTTGCTTTATTACACAAACAGAGAGGTGAGCGATTCCAGCGTGGGGCTGGCGTACTGGGCGCACATTCCTACTCCCATGGAAACCAGTGCCACACACAGGCTCGCGGCGATGGGAGATGCTGGGAGCGTGCTTGTTCGGAGGCCGCTCTGTGATTGGTTGGCTGTTTCGGCTGTGATGCTCAACATTTTCTGCAAGTCGTCGAAAACCTACGGAAAAGCGTAAAGGTGAATCTCGGGCAGCTGATTCTGCAGGTTTGAGCTGCTCTTCCTGCTGGAGCTGGGCCGGCGGCGACTCACGTGGACGTTGAGCTGGAACGCCGCCACGGCCTCCTCCAGCACCGCCGCCTTCTCCTCCGCCGTCAGCTGGATGCTGTTCATCCGGCTCCGGTACAGCTGCTTGAAGCGGTTGGGGCTGGTCACGCCGGGGAACGAGAAGAAGGACAGGCCCTCTTTGCTGCTCAGCCCCAAGGACTTCTGGGTGATTTTTCCCAACACCTGTCCACCGGATAGGTCACCAAGATAGCGAGTGTAGGTGTGGGCCACCAGCAGCTCCGGCTTCTCTCTGCCGATCTGACAAAAGAAGAAGCGTTGACGCCGTGTGACGTAAGCGGTTGTTTCTGATGATCTGACCCACCTTCCGCAGCCTCTGTTCGTATCGGTGCGTGGCTGCAGGAACGATCACTTTGTTCTTCCAGTCTGAGCCGAAGAAGTGCTCCAGATCTGCTTCCAGGGGTTCCAGACGAGCGAGTTCCTGAGGGAAGTATATTGGAGCAACTGCTGGATGGGAAGAGTTCCTGTCCAGCTCCTCTTCTAGAGCCTTGTAGATCTCGTAGAGGGAGCACAGCAGAACCTGGTGGAAGAACGTCTGCTCTTCAGAGAGATGTGAGGAGAACAGCTCATGCTTCTGGGGGGTGATGGTCTCACCTTGTACTGAGGCAGGGTGATCTGGCCCTTCTGGTAGCTGAGCATCAGCTGTGTGTTCTCAGCCCGGACGTGGTTGTCTTTGGTGGCTGCTTTGATCTGCTCAGATAAGTCGCTGACGGCAGAAGTTTAGAACACACCTTTGTTAAACAGGAAAATCAAAGTTTCACGTTGATTTAAACAGAAAAGAACCATTAAAGCGAGTCTCACCTGCCAGCTGGAGCCGAGTCGTCGTTCCGTGCACTCTTCATGGTCTCCACTGAAGTTCCCAGTCCTGCTTGTGGGCTGGAGTTCTGTCTCCTGGTCTTTTATAGGGCCTCCGTGCTGCAGCTGCTGAGTCAAAAGGGAAGTGTGACTGCTGCGTCGCGTTACAGGAGGAGCTGCAGCTTCACATGACGAGGCAGATGAGGCTTTGCAGTGGCGAAACTCTGAAAACATGACCTGGCA